CATCATAAGAACAAGAACATGAATATGAACTTATTCATAAATCAAAAATTACACTTAAAACTTTGTAATTTTGATAACTAGTTGTTGTAAATGAATTATCAAATACATTACACCATCTAAAACAAGTTTTTCAAGTACCAAAAAGTTTAGGGTAATGTTTCTAATTCATTTCCAGCAACTAAATCAAAATTCTGCAATCAGTCGACCCTACTCGCCGAGTGCATGAACTTACTCGCCGAGTTGGTTGAAGATACACATGAACTCGACGAGTCCCTCTTATGGACTCGACGAGTCCATTCGTGGATAGCAAGATTTTTGACTTTTTTCAACTTTTAAGCACAAATAAAAAAGCAAACAAGCCTAGGCTCTGATACCACTGATGGGTTTTGAGCATTCTAACACTTCTAAGTGTACATGCAACCCTAATAACCTTGGATCTATGTTTGTCTAATTATCATGCAAAGTTGAATTCCAAGGTTATATTCCTATCTAGCATACATGGGGAACAATTTTAACTTAAAGTATAGATAGAATAACTTACCTTGTTGTTGTTTGTGTTCCTTGAAACCTTGTGAGCCTAGCACCCCAAGTGTGATGCCTCAAATGCTTCACACAACACCAAATGCTCTTGGAAGAACTTATGAGAGAACACACACTTCTCAAAATCGGCCAAGCCCTCTTGTTTCTTAGTGTAGCCGATTTTAGGTGGAGAACATGTTTCTTATATAGTGTTGACACATCTAGGGTTAAACCCTAATGTGTCATGACTCTTCATTTCCATGATCCATGGGTTTGTAACTCCCATGGAGCATCCATGGAGCATCCTATGGGTGGAACCCAACTTGATAATCCATGGAGCCTCTTAGCCCACTATACAAGATATGGATGATTTACATAATCAACCCATATATTTAATTAGTTATCTTTTGATCACATAATTAATTCTAAATTAATTCTTGATCAAACTAATCAAATAATATTATTAATATATTAGAACTTATAATATATTAATAATCTCCAAGTGTTATTTCTCTCATTTAGTCTATCCAATTGCACGGTGCCATGCAACCCAAATGGACCATGCCGGGTCGGGTCAAGTACATACCAGAAATAGTTATGGACTTAGACACCTTATCCAACAGTCTGCACTTTAGCACCGCCTTTCACCCGCAAACGGATGGTCAGAGCGAGCGGACCATCCAGACCTTGGAGGATATGTTGCGGGCATGTGTCTTAGACTTCATAGGTAGTTGGGATACTTACCTTCCCTTGGCGGAGTTCTCCTATAATAACATCTATCATGCGAGTATCGACTACCCTTATTTCGAGATGTTATACGAGAGAAAGTTTAGGACCCTGATATGCTAGGGTGAGGTTGGTCATAGGGTCATGGGGATTACTGAATTGGTACTCAAGCCTATAGAGAGGATCCAACAGTTTCAGAGAAGGCTTCAGACTGCTCAAAGTTAGCAGAAAAGTTACGCCGGCAAGCGTCGATCGGACCTAGAGTTCCAGGTTGGGGATATGGTGCTCTTGAAAGTGTTTCCTTGGAAGGGTGTCATTCAATTCAGAAAGCCGGGCAAGTATATTTCATAAGGTTTCCGTGCATATAAAGAAGGCCAAAATCCGAGTTATAACGAAGAAGTTATGACCTGTCGAAGTTTCGCAATAGAAATGGCACGACACAGCGCGACGTAAATAGCGAATTTACGTTAGAGCAATATTTGGCCTTAGCGTTCTGAATGAAAGTTGTAGAATACGTTAAACTGAGAGCGTGCATAAAAGCAACACCCAAATCTGACTTCGTATGAGGAAGTTATGATTTTTCGAAGTTTCGGCTTAGCAGTGTACAACCCGAAATTCGAATATGAGATCAAGCGATATTTAGCCGAAACAATCTAAACGAGAATTGAAGATCTCATCGATAGTAGTCCAACGGTAAAAAGAAAAACGAAAACGGAGTTCAGATGAAGGAATTATGAATTTCTAACGGAGTTTTCCTGTCTCGGCCTACTAAAAACAATATAAAGATATTATAATAAAAATAAATTCGAAATTAGTCAAAGAGTCTAAATGAAAGTTGTAGATCTTGTTTTTATCTACTCATCGATATAAAGAATGTCGAAAACTGAGTTCGTAAGCGAAAGTTATGAATTTCTGAAGTTCGGGGCGCGAAACCCCAAAACTGTCAGAGTACATGATGTGAATACAGTGTTCACAACGTGAACTCAGTATTTATGACTTCTAAAGCCAGATAGACGCAAGTTGCGATGACGCATACAGTGACGACTAAACTCATGATGTGAATATTTGAGATTCACGACGTGAATCCATAAAATCAGCCCTATAAATAGAAATCGAAGGGCAACCAATTTAGGTTGCTACTTTATCACTCTCTCACTCCCGATACTTTCTCTAACCCTATTTTAACCCCCGAAGCCCTGGTATCACCCCAAGACACGAAGCAAGTCCCGAAGCCCAAAGATCTCGAGAAGTGACCGAGCCGAAGCTCTGCCTGCGAGAAGCCGGATTGTGTGAAGATCTTTCAGATCTACCGAAGAATACTACTTTTACGAGCCGTAGTGCTGTCCGATCATCTTCTGATCAAGTGAGTGTATAGTCCCTTTCATAAACACGATTTTAATACAAGTACTGTTTGAATGTATTAAGTATATGTTTGCTGTGAGTATATAGTTACTTTCTTCTAACACATAAATATTAAGTAGTTGCTATGAAATATGTTCTATGTGTTAATAAGTTGTTTGTTTATCTGAGATGAGTGTTGAATATGAAGTATTGACTATAAAATACTTGATATGTGTTAATAAGTTTTTTGTTTATTTAAGATTCGTGTTGAATGCAATGTTTGGTACAAGTTTTCAATAAGTTAAACTGTATATATGTTTTATATCTACTATTATGTTGGGGAAAACATGGGTAGATAAATGATGAGGTGCGAAAGATGATTAAGAATAATATTAGTAGATGCACCAATAGTTAATGTAATAATACTACCAGATGCGCTTAGGATTAATTTTGGCAGATGCACCAAATAGAGAATGTCATAATACTAGCAGATGCGCTTAAGGATAATATTGACAAATGCACCTAATAGTGAATGTCGTAATCTTGGCAGATGCGCTAAAAGGATAATGTCGACAAATGTACCTAAAACAGAATGTCATAATGTCGGCAGATGCGCCTAATAGTGTATGTTGTAATCCGGGCAGAGGCGCTTAAAGGATAACCTTGGCAGATGCGCCTTCTGTAGCGATGGATTTTGTGCCAATTCCTCAGGTCAATCCTTAGGAATGAATGATTGAAGGATAGTTGATTCTTAGGGTAAAACATTAAGAATTAATGAAGATAATGGGTATGAGTAATTGGGTTGATTGCTTGATGATTAATTATCACTACTAGAAAAAATAATCCTTTTACGACGCTCATTGCGCGTCGTAAAACGCTCAGACGACGCGCAAATGCGCGTCAAGGAAGGCCCTGTCATAAAGAGAGACGACGCGCTTTTGCGTGTCGTCTATAGACGACGCGCATTTACGACGCGCGGTTATGACACGCAATGCATATCAAGGAAGGCCCTGCCATAAAGAAAAATGACACGCATTTGCGTGTCGTAACCTTACGATGCGCGTGTTTATGACACGCAATGCGTATCAAGGAAGCCCCTGTCAAGAAAGGTCATGTCATAAATGAAGACGACACACATTTTTGCGTATCGTAATTTTAAATTTAAAAAAAAAATTATATTTATAGATTTACTGATTTTCAAATTAAATTTGCATTTCATGTCTCATAAGAGAAAATAAAATACCATATATAAAAAATACCATACATTGCACAAAAGTTAATGTCATACAAATAGTTGTTGCATGGAAAGATAAAATAAATCAATAGACGTAAAAAAAAATTACAAACTAATAGTTCTAATAACCTAATGTGTGCCTCACTGTAAACAAGATATGTGCTGATTTTTTTAAATGTGTGTCTAACTTGTCTCCACTCTTCCTTAATAACACCACTCAAGGACTCTAAATCTGTGAAGTTAGTCACAGTATCTATATTGCCTGCAAAAAAACATAACTACAAAATAAGTGCTATCTAGGATCAACAATGTTGCCAAACTAGTAAGCATAATAAAAGTATAAATATATAATACAACAAAAAGTTGAGTAATTTTACAAAACAATCCTTCAAGTTGTTATAAAGAATAATGACTTTACCATACCAGTAACATCTATTGTTGAAGATGCAATAGGAAGCATTGGATTTGGATAGTCCATGTGTAAGACATTGATCAAGGCCCAATGTTGCCATTGATCAAGGTGGATAGTGTAAGCACAGTTACTAATTTTCTTTGAATTACCTATAAACATGTAGAAACATAATATTTAAATAAATAATGACATTTTATCTACAAATGACAAAATATGACCCTCAATAATAGCATAAATGGTTCATTTTCCTATAAAAATATATATCATACGTTGGCATCATGTTATTTGAGTATTTCCCCAATTAGTAAGCTACCAAATTTACTAAAAAATAAACAAAAGAAATTTCATTTGTTTTGTTTGAAGGTTATTCACATGACTTTAATTAACTGCTAGTCTAAACTTCAAAACTATCAAAAACGGCAAGTTAGTTTCTATTATAACTTTCTAACCCTGGTTCAAAAGACAAAACAAGATTAAAGATAGGGGCTCAAGCGTCATTCAAGGTCAGCATACCTAGAAGTGTTTTTCCTTCTAGATGCTCCAAGCTGGCACCGACACCTATCCAGATGTGACTCATCTTGTCATTCCCTGTCCACTAAGTTCCACTAGTTTCTTCATAATAGCCTAGGGCAAGAAAACTCATATGAAAAGGGAATATTTCCAATAAGTTGATTCATTGACAGATCAATGTAATCTTTTATCATATGAAATTCTTTTTTTATTGAGTATAAGAATCAAGAACAATACCCTGTAAAATATCAAGTGTTCTTAGATTGTTGTGATATCATCAGAAAAAGGCATGGGTTGTATGGATCCATTAAGATTGATACTGCTCAGGATTGTTGTGATATCATCAAAAAAAGTCATGGGCTGTTTCTCTTCTGTTGTTAACCCACAGGAGTTCTGGAAAAAGTTGGTCAGGCTAATAACATCCTGCAACATAATAAAATAGAACACTATGATAACTTGATAAGGACAAAGATGTCTGATATGTAATAAAGATACATGCATGAATCAACATGAAAAGCTACCTGATCACGAAAACCAGTGAACTTGTACTTCAAACCATCTTTGATTCTAACAACAAGCTGATTAGTCCGTGGAACTTTCATCCATGTAAGACCAGAAATATCAGATTTATCAACTTCAACAGCCTAACCACCTTGTTTCTTCCATAATATACCACCTGGATGAACTTTAAGTTGACCTGGATTCTGGATTGTTCAGAAAGCATGTTAGAAAGTTGTAGGGAGATGGAGTAAAGGAATGAGAAGATTAGATTGGAAAATAAATTACCAGTTTCAATATGAATTGGTTATAAACATTTCAGTTTTCATAACATGGTATGTATCAATTTGCAAAGATTAGTTACAATCTGAACAACATTAAAAGATAGATGAGAGGAAAAAACGTAAGAAGGCTTCAATTGAAAACTTATCTCCATCAAAGAATCTTTCTGCATCATATTAAAAAGAAAAAAAAAGATAGTTAAAAATCAAAACTGTCATATACCATGAGGAAGAAATTTGAAAGTAATTAACAAAGAGGAACCTCATTTGCACCAGTTGTGTCATCCACATGGAATTCCAATATGACATCATTCTTTCCTTGTAGCTGTGTTTGGGAGACATCAGCTAAGGAGACTTCAAATGCTTGCTTTGAACCAACAAGAAAAGACAGCATATGGCCTGAAAAGTTTCAGAAAGGAAGATACTAGTATGAATAACATGTTAACTAGTTTCATTTACATCTCAATATTACTAAATGTGTGTTGCTCCACAATATACTAATTTGGAGATTTTACAAAACAAGATAAGGATAAAGGTCTCAACCATTTAAATCAACTTCTCCCTAGTTTTTCCCACTAATAGAAAGTTGTTTCTCTTCTGTTGTTAACCCACAGGAGTTCTGGATAAAGTTGGTCAGGCTAATAACATCCTGTAATAAAATAAAATAGAACACTATGATAAGGAAAAAGATGTTTCATATGTAATAAAGATACATGCATGAATCACCATGAAAAGCTACCTGATCACGAAAACCAATGAACTTGTACTTCAAACCATCTTTGATTCTAACAGCAAGCTGATTAGTCCATGGAACTTTCATCCATGTAAGACCAGAAATATCAGATTTATCAACTTCAACAGCCATAGGGTTGTCTTCAACATCCTCCCCTGTTGTGTTCAACATCCTACCCAATAAAAGTGAGTCCAACTTCTATAGAGTTCTTCCCAGCCATATCTGTAATGTACGTTTGTGATGACTGTATCAGTATAGATAATGTACACGTGTATGTCCAGCTGGCAAAGTAATATAGGATAATGATGAATGTATATGAAGGGTATCTTAGTAATCTTACCTCCACACCACGACTCATCTCTTGTATAGCTGATAGCACTGATAAGCTATCCAGAAGTTGGAGGTACTCAGACAAGACCTGGAATGTCTGCACATAAAAAGATTGTATATTTATTATTTACCATGCTATGATAAAAAGAAATTCTAATATATATATATATATATATATATATATATATATATATATATATATATATATATATATATAAGGGGAGCTGATAATTCCACATCTTTTTATACATCCATGGATTTTTAAAGTAAATTGACAGTTATGCCCTTTATCATCTATCTTTAGAATGCAATTAATTTATTCAAAGGATGCATACGCTTCATTTTTGATAAACCATTAAACCAAATGAACTCATTCCTCATGTCACAGTGCTAGAGATCCCCTTGAACCACAATCTCCAACAGAATCCTATCACCTGTGACCATCATTTTCACCTAAATATGCTCTTTTCCTAATGCATTTCTAGTAATTGACAAAATACTTGACTATCTACACTTGATGTTACCTGCTTCTCTAAAAACATTTAAAAAAAAAAGTTCACTACATTTAGAAGTGATTCTTGTCTCTAATCTTGCATATTAGAGAAAATAATCGATCTGAGTTTTCATGTGATTAGTGGTTGCATCTTTGCAGGTGCCTTTTTCTATATCAAAACTAATAGCTTCTGGACTTGGGGCATCTGTTCCAACTGAGCAATTGTTCAGAAGACTTATAATCACACTTTTGATACCCTTGATTTTGGGGAAGGTAACACCTTTTATTGTCACTTTTTAAGGCCCATACAATATCACAGTTTTTAGTCATTCTGTGTAAATATCATGCATTTTCTTAGAACCAATGCAATTTTCCCCCCACATATGAAACAGGGGCATCTTCTAAAAACGAGAAAATTTTGTGATGCTTCTCAAACTATATCCATAATACATCTCAACAACATAAAGATTTCAGAATCAGGGATTGATGGTTACCTTACCCTATGCTTCTTACTTTTTTTGTTTCTCGTCCAAAGAATTAATGTGGATTGCATCTGTTTGTTACATGGTGTTTCACAAGTGTTGAGATTAAAAAAGTAATTGTTGGTTTCGTTTGACAGGATTTTCGGGAATCCTTTAAAGGTGATATTTCTTTTGTCCATATAATTTACAAGTTGTTGGGATATTCTGATTTAAGAACCGGAACCATAGAACCTAGTATGTCTAAAATTGAAAACTCGTTATTATGGAGTTCCATAGATAAGCACATTTGACTAGTATATCTCCAACTCAAATAATGTGTCAAATTTTTCTTGCATATGTTATAACTTAACTTAACTAACCAAATTGTTAATTCTCCAAGTTTTTGTGCATTGCAGGCTTTGAAGATTTTGTTGATAATAACAATCAGCTCTTATCGGTACTGAGTGTGATATTACTTAGTTTGGTGTGTTGTCATTATTTTTTTTATAAGCTTTTCATTTCTACATCTTGTTGATGTTATCAAATTTGAATATGAGTTTTGTGTTTGACTGACAATGTGTGGTGATGTTATCAAGGTCCCGTGGATACAAGTAAGCAGATCAAGGCCTCTACTTCTGATGGTTAAGCCTGAAGCTTTTCTTGTAGCTGTGATGATGGGAGCGTATGATCTTTCTTCTGAATCACATACATTGTTGAGATGATATTTTGTTATTTCATTTAATATCGTGTATATATATACTGCAGGCTGCTTCACCTGATACTATTAGGTTTCAATGCCACATCAATTCGTTGCCTATGTGCTGTATCTGGTGGTAGCAAATCAATCTTTGCAAAAAAGAAAAATTCTACTGCCCTCTTACTTATTGCAAGTCAGGTAACAAATTAAGTTATCCACTAATCAACTTTTCTATTTATTATTATTATTATTATTATTATTATTATTATTATTATTATTATTATTATTATTATTATTATTATTATTGTAGAACCTATTTTTTGGTGTTGGAGATATTATCCTTAAAATCTTAATTTGGTGTGAGGATGAGATTTTTGTAGAAAGCTTTGCCAGTGCTGGTTGCGGTGGTGGATCAACTTGGTGGTACATTTGGTGAACCAGGATTACTAATCATCCCCTGTGTTGCAGCACATTTAAACCAGGTTCACCCTTTTCCATATACCATATGCATTTCAAAAGCTTTTTAATTGCTAAATTTCTTTTATACCCAAGCAACCACTATTTTTAAAACTAAACGTTTTGGTTTATAGATCATCATGGACTCTTTTCTCATAACCTTTTGGAACAAAAAAGATCAGTCGCTTGCCAATACCTAGCTGTTACATGACCAATCACCAAGATGGATCATTTTCAGTGGGTCAATAAAGCTGGAAGGAAACACATGAAATACAAGTGCATATTATTATTATTATTATTAAATCCCTTAAAACAATTTCAATGAAAATATATCGTACAATAATTATCTTTGATTTACTGAAAAAAAGATTCAATTTATTGAGCATATCATGGGTACATAATCCTAAATTCTTTTTAGGTATTTCTCATTCTAACATGCTCCAACTCCAGGAAAAAAAAATAAAAAACATAAAGAAAATGGAGAAAATACATGGGAAATAAACAGGTCAACAATGAATGCGCTTGCTTGTTTACTTAGGCAAGCCAGTGAGTGGGTTAAGAAGAGCATGGGTTTACTTATGCCCTTCATCATCTATCTTTAGAATGCAATTAATTTATTCAAAGGATGCATACGCTTCATTTTTGATAAACCATTACACCAAATGAACTTATTCCTCATCTCACAGTGCTAGAGATCCCCTTGAACCACAATCTCCAACAGAATCCTATCACCTGTGACCATCATTTTCACCTAAATATGCTCTTTTCCTAATGCATTTCTAGTAATAGGCTATACCGTTCCAATTCCCCATTTTAGATGGTTTGTACAAAAAAGGAAGATAGCTATTTAGGTGGAAGAGTGAGAGACGGAGAAGGCAATATAAATGAGAGGCGAAATAGTCAATATGGTTTAAAATCCGTGGATTAAAAAAAAGAGTCGTGGCAATATCACCTCACATATAAAAGATGTTGTAAACTGAAAGAAAAATGGAAGTGAATCTAAAAAGCAGCAGGCATCAGTCTCTTCAACAAAACTCGTCTCTGTTGAAAATAAAAGAATGAGCACATTACCAAATAATCCTTCGATTGACTCCAATTTGGAGTCAAATCGATATCCATTCAGCTTGATAATACCAATTTCAATTTCAATTTCATGTACTCTATTGTTTACTGATCCAGATCCAGTTATGATGATGACATGTTAAAAGCCATGTCTCTAAGGGATTGAAGAAACGAGCATCATACCAAAATCTACAAACAAAACTAATAAAAGATAGAGATTGTAACACACCTCGAGAAGTGAACAATTGACTGTCTGATTGAATTCATCGAATCTTCCTTGTCGTTCTCAGATGAAGTGTATTAGGTCAAAAGCTTGAATTCCAATCGTCGCCATAGTCATCGGCATTGCGGTGAATCCCCATAGGATAGCCATGTCAGGATTTGGGTTGATGGGTCGTTGGACAAGAAGGTAATAGCCATGCTCTGCATAGGGTCAAGGAGCAGAATGACGATAAGAGGGAGTACTGATGATATTTACCTGCGTAGGGTTAAGGAGAAGAACGACGAGAATAAATGGCATGTATGATGATACGATGAGCACAGAGACCACGATCGAGGCGTAAGAGCCTAAGACGACGACGGTGAGCAGAGCGATGCGATAGAGGCGGGAATATGGAAGGAAGGATGTGAAAGCATAAAAGGCATGACTTAGGGTTCTGGTGGGTTTGCTAAAATTTAAGGGCCGGATTGAGTGAATTAAAGTGAAGTCTGGATTCAGATTTTATGGTTCAATGGTGGTGGAGGTGGCGGTGGCGATTAGGGTTTACAGAGAGAAGGAAGGAGTGAATGAAGGGTTATATTGATGAGAGAGGGTAGAAGCGGGATTCTTCAAAATTTTAGAATTTCACGATTTTGTTTTCCCCCTTTAAAAATGCGCGTTTAAGCAAAAATATAAAGCGACATTTGAAGAGGTCACACGTTTAAGATAAGCGCCCTCCGTGTTTGTATTTTTTTTTCTTTTCTAACACTTATTTCAGGGCACGCACAAATGCGTGTCCACTATCCTTAAAATTTTTGAAGAGATGATACTTTTTTAATGTCACTCTCTAATGCGTAACATAAATCAAAGAGCGTCGTGTTTTGCGCATCGTAAAAGGCTGTTTTTCTAGTAGTGTATAATAATTATATTACTGTGGGTTGAAAACCTTATATGCTCACCAGGATCCCAAGCCTGACCCTCTCAGTTTCGTTTGTGTCACATGTATCAATACAAAGACTTATGTCACTGAGAGATTAAAGGAGATGTAAATAATTAGTGTAATTAAATGTAAGTTCTGTTTATGCTTATGTGTATGTATCAGAACATGACATCCCGAGATTTTGTTATAAATGAAAATACATTTCTTTAAGAAATGATTTTGATAAATTCTTATCATATTTTGTTTTGGGAACAAATTCTGCAACTCTTTTAATCAAAGGATTACTCTAATTTTAAAAAAAGAAGCATAAGCAAATCGGTTTTTTCTGGCCGTGAAATCGGGGATGTCACAGCAAGCTAGGTCCCAGATATATTGGACCCTTCAGGGTTATATCCCGGTGGGCAAAGTGGCATATAGGCTGGATCTACCAGTCGAACTCAGTCAGATTCATAGCACTTTTCACATCTCCCAGTTGTAGAAGTGTCTGGTGGATGACTCGGCAGTGGTACCATTAGAGGATATTCAGGTGGATGACAGCCTAAATTACATCGAGCGGCCAGTGGAAATCCTTGACAGGAAGTTGAAGGATCTGAGAAACAAGAGAGTGGACTTGTGAACCGGAGGACAAGATGAGGGAGCATTACCTCGAGCTTTTTCAGGATCGAGCAGCAGACTTTGAGGATGAAGTCTAAGATAAGCGGGGGAGATTTTGAATACCTGATCCCTGGTATGCATTCAATTCAAGTATTTCTTATGTTTTCCTGTGGGAATCGATGAGTTGGAGGACCAACTCGTAGAGTAGGGTCATAATCCGCAGGGAGTTTAAGTAATCTACTCAGCGAGTTGAGAGACTGACTTAGCGAGTAGGTGTTGTTTGGTTAAAACCCTAAATTGAGGGTTTTCACCCTATTTAAACACCTTATAACACCCCAACTCATCCCCCATTGTCTAGATCAAACCCTAAATCGAAACCCTAGCCGTTTTTGTGTGTTCTTGAGCCTTGTGGTGTTATTTTTGTGTGATTGAAGCTTGAAGAGGAGAAGGAGACTTGTGAGATCAAGGGGAAACAAGAAGATCTAGAGTTTTAAGCTCAATTCCAGCTTATCTGAGACATGAGGTTGAAACTTTAACTATTAATTGCTTAGATCTTGATTTTTGGACCTTTTACTATAGCCTAATAAGCCATAGTGAGGATCTATTCGTGATTTAGTATAAGACTTTAGTTTGTGCTTCAGATCTAGGGCTATTAGGGGTCTTTATTGCATAAAGGTGCCCACCTTGTTGCCATAAACACCCCATGCATCTTGTAGACCATCTTTTATGCATTTTTGAGCCAAAGACCCCATGCATGTTCACCAAGTTTGAATCTTTACCTGAAAAACAGACATTAGGATGCCAGATCTATGGTTTTGGTGTGCTAAGACCCATTTAAATCAATTGTATAGTAATGGTTAAGGGTGGACTCGGCGATTCGTTGTTGGGACTCGGCGAATCAGGGTGTAATGACCACCAAATCCTGTCTGTAGATGGATCCGATGTTAGGGTGAAAGGTCCCTCAGTTTTTTAGGCTCATAAGGGACCTGGGAATCATGGGACTCGATGAGTGTTTGAACAAATTCAGCGAATCCAAGCACTCTCCCAATCTTTGAAGATGGACTCAACGAGTTGTTCATACAATTCGGCAAGTCATAGACTGGACACACTCTTATGAGAGATATGAACTCGGCAAGTCAGATGAAGATGGTCCCGATGGTATGATTGAAAGAGAACCTTTCGAGTTCTTGCTAGACTCGAAGAGTATGGTCGGAGGGTGGTATAGATTAGGGAGTATGGACTCGACGAGTTGGTAGACCAACTTGGTGAGTCAGGTCAACAGTATGTTGACTTTGACCAAAGTTGACTTTGGTTTAATTGAGTTGACCACCAATTAGGGTTGCGTATTCAAATTGATAACTTAGAAGAGTTGTCATGTAGGGATTGAGGAGGTAGGGAGAGTCGATTTCCACACCGAGATCAGTGAAGACACTATACGACTTTGAGGTGAGATACCTTCCAGTAGGAGTGGGTCTAAGGCACCAATGTCGGCCCACCAGTAGGTGATTATGTTTGAGATGATTGTCTTTGCGATAATCATCCAGTTGCCGTTATTCAATATGCTTATTGTGCTGGGATGTTATGATATATGTGTTAATAGTAGTAAGGGTGCAATAGTCCCAAGTTACCAGTTGAAAGATACTGAAGACTGTTACCGGTTGAAAGATACAGAAGGGGTGGACAGAACCCAAGCATGCCTAGCAGTATGTTTATGATATGTTATTATGTGACTAGTATGGTTATCATATACCATTATGTGATTTAGTATGTTTCTGTTATGCTATCATGGAACCAATATGTTTATGACATATTATTATGTGATAGTGATAAGGGGTGAAATAGTCCCCGGATACCGGTTGAAAGATACCAAAGGGGAGGTTAGCTCCCGGTTACCGGTTGAAAGAAATCGAAGGCGAGGTTAGTTCCCAAGTACCGGTTGAGAGATACCGAGGGGGAGTCCAGCTCCCGGCTATGCTTGTTAGCTACCGGTTGAAAAATACTGATGATTATGCATTATTTGGTATGCGTATGATGGGGGAACTCACTAAGCTTTGTGCTTATGGTTTTTAGTTTTGGTTTCAGGTACCTCTTCATCTAAGGGGAAGGAGTCGACGGTGTAGCAGCGCATCACACATATGATTTCCACATTGAGTTTTCTGGGAGTGTACCATGGTTTTTATTACTATGGATGATATGGTTTTGAGCATGGTTGCAGAAATCAGGATTAATCAGTGATTAATCGTGGATTAATCGCTTGGCGTTCTGCAACCGTCAAAGATTAGGGTATTAATCGGAAATTTAGGATTAATCGGGTTTGGCGGGATTAATCGGTCTTGGCGGGATTAATCGGTCAACAAAAGTCAACAAAAGTCATGAAACTTCTTCCAAAACCTGGAAGTGAACCGTACATCCCTGTCGGAAATCACTGAAACTGGCACCCCGTGCCACGCCACTTCCTCCCTGATATAGATGTCGGCCAACTTTTTGGCCGAAACTCTCTCCTAAATCGGAATAAAATGGGCGCTCTTGGTCAACCGATCAACGATGACCCAAATCGAATCTACTTCAAGCACGGTCCTGGGAAGCTTCGTGATAAAATCCATAGTAATCTCCTCTCACTTCCACAACAGGATATCCAATGGTTGGACCTTGTTGTGTGGTCTCTAGTGCTAAGCCTTGACCTTCCTGCTGGTCGGGCACCTCTCCACGAACCAAGCTATGTCTCTCTTCATACAGGGCCACCAATAATCAAGACGAAGATCCCTGTACATCCTTGTCG